CAGAATTGAATTGAACTCCTGAATGCTGACAGTATGAAAGTAAAGCTCTTGAGCGAGCCGACAGCAACAAAAGATTAGGCCATCGTACATCGTTACAGTGGCAGTCAGTTGGGGAGAGGAAGCTGCCAGCAGATGCCGAGTCCGACCTCTGACCCTTTCCCAAGCAGAATGTAATGACTACAGACATGTTGAGTACTCGCTGTGCCACCACGTACCGTTCTCTCCTCGCGGTTCTGAGGAGCTGCCCGTTATCACCCATCAGCAGCAGCAGCAGCAGCAGCAGCTCATTCCTCCGACAGAGCTCACTTCTCTCTGCAGCTCCACACTTGCCTGACATTCCTGGAAAAGAGAAAACCAAATGATTACTTTTGATATATAAAAAGATATATAGAAAAAAGAGGAATTCATTTTTCATATATACACATATACATACACATACATATACTGTATACCTGTGTATAAATACATACATATATACACATATATGCACATATACATACATATATATACACATGTATACATACATATATATATACATACATATATACACATATATATACACACGTATACATACATATACATATATACAGTTCATATATACATGCATATATACATATATACATGCATATATATACATATATACATACATATATATCGTATTAATGAAGCGATCCTCAGTTTTTTACTTCTCCATTTTTTACTTGCTGCCACTCTACTACTTGCTGTGACATATATAAAAATATATATCATGCATATATATAAAAAAGCAGCATTGCAGGGGTTCAGCTCTAAAGTGCTGGTTATATTGTATGAAACATTCAGGACGTTTACTGGACTCTGTGATGAGGTTCAACTTACATACCATGTGGCTTCATTTCCATGACACACTGTAACGGCCCTAAAGCCAATATGGACGATCTAGCAACAGCGGCAGCTGAAATCACCCTTAATGTGTGTGTGGATTTGTGAAGTGTACAGTCAATAGCTTTATGTTCTCACAAAGTAAGTGGGTAAACAAAGGAACTATTTCTCTCCCACATGCTCAGCGTCTCTCTCCTCCTCTGCACGCTTTAAAGTGGATGAATTCAGTGTGCAGTGAAGTATCAGAGCTGCTGCTGCTGCTGCTGTAAAACCAACAGCACTCACAGCAGGTTTGGAACCACGTGACACGTTGTCACCAAATAAGCTGCGCACAGTTCCAGTACGACGCGGTCACAAAGGCTGCGGGGCTATTGTCCGTCTTTGGAGCAACATTTCCGACAGTTGTTGACCTTAAAAAATGTTTGCAAACATAATTTTGGAGATTTGACCTTTTCCCTCTCCACAGCAGAGGTGTCCAACATGAGGCCTGGGGCCCACAGAGGAGATTTTGATGCCTATCAAAATATGTTGAGAAGTGTGAAAATGTTCCAGATGAAAAATGCTGAGATACATTTTTTTTTATTATTCCAATAATAGACTTTCAAAAGTTAAAATTAAATGTGCTCTGATGTGTTCCACCAGAGCAGATAAGAATAAGGAGGATATTTTTTTAACTCGTCTCCTCCAGTGAGGCTACAGATTGTTGTTGTTTAAGACTGGGAACAGAAATATATACAGTATATATATATAAAATAAAAAATACTCTCCAAGTTACGTATAAGTGACTGATTAACACACTTGAGGTGACGGAGTTACTGAAGTTGCTCTCCAGGGCAGACACTGTGTCCCATAGAGGTTTGAGAGCCAGTGACATGAGGGGAGAGACAGCTTCACCATTATCCTCAGCCAGGTCAAGGGGACATCCGAGGACACAGTAACCTCCTTAATTAGTTGGCCCACTCCACTCCTGTCAGCAGCTGAGAGTTGCTGACCCCATAGAAAAACAGCTACTGCCGCCGCCGCGGTGACATACTGTAGTCGAGGGTCTTCAGGAGCGTGTCAAGCATTCCATGTGACCTCTGGCTCGGAGGCAAGAAGAGAGTCTCCTCTGGCCCTTATTATTCTTTTGACTGATGGACATAAATTTTTGAACCGTACAGTACTTGTGATTTGGAGAAACTAGTCCACGTGGAAAAAAAGAAAAGTCTATCTTGTCAGACGTGTGTGCTGAATTTACACGGCCAAATAAATAAATAAATAAAGGGTTGAGAGTTTACTCAGGAAGAAGTACAACAGTACGGCTGCAGAACAGGGAAACGGCCGAGAGAATATACTGACAGACCACTAGGTGTTGACATGGTGGCTATCTTTAGCTTGTCTTGTCATGTAATGCGCAAAGACAAGCTCTGCTTATCGAATCAATATTTTTAATTACATTACATCATGACAAACGGCGCTTCTAAGGAGCAGTTTGAAAGAGGAGAGATTCATTCGTACGGTTTGTGATACTTCGGACTTAAGTAACTGCTTTGGTAACAAAAATCTCAGATTACTTGATTTTCTTCTTCTTCTCTCTCAGTCATTTTTTTGTTCCGGTTCATGTGAGGGCTGCAGCAGTCACAGCCCAGCCCCAAGACAACAACGAACCCAAGTTCAGAACTTTTACTGAAAGTTCATTTGGAGCCACAAGGAACATACCATCAAAGTAATGCTAATAGTAATAAAATAATTAAAAAAAAACAAATCAATAAATTGCGATAAAAAAAATGGCCTAAACGAATTACAGTAATGGGTTAACACATCAATAGGATGTTTTTTTTTGCCCAGCACTAATGAAGACTTCTTTCTCTATTTACAGTTGCAGTATTCACAGACACACAGTAAATCTAATGTATTTTTAGAAAAAAAAACACATTTTTGTTTGTTTTGCATGTTGTCTGAGAGGCTCGACTGTGTTTGTAAGGTTTTTTCCGGGTGTTTTTTATTCAGAAGCTTTTCCTCCTCCAGTGTCATTATTAAAGATGATGGATCTCTGGCTGCAGTGATGGAGGCTGACACACTGTGTCATGTTATTCTCACCTCGTGAAAAGCAACGTGATGTGTCTTTTTCCAGTTATCAATCCCCCCTTTTTTTTTTTTTTTTTTTTGCTCACATGTTGTAGCACGTAGTCTCAATAACAGCACTTTGTCATCAACAACTTATCTTTGGCAAGATGTGATAAAGAAGTAACATGTGTTGAATGCTCTTGTCTCTTGACTTTCCCACGAACGCGGAGCCTCATTCGTATTAGTGTCTAAGAAAAGTTAGAGGCTACATTTACATTGTAATTAATTTCTTTTTTTCTTTTCTTTTTAAACGACAGCTGTGGCAGAGGAGAGTGATGAGGGCAGGGACGGCACACAGCAGCACGGTGACAACAGGGAGATTATGCAAATGCTAGAAATGATGGCTGCAAACTGCGCCCTTTGTCATGATGGAAATGTCAAGAGAAAATAATTTGAATACTCATTTAGAAGAATCCGTGCGTGAGATATGTTGTCTGAAGGAGAGGTTCTAGTGATATTCTTTAATGAGGACTTCAAAACGGTTTCTTACATTTTCTTTAAATTGTAACTTTTTACGGGGGGTTCTGAGAGTGTGGTAATATGTAGATATCACCGCTAACAAGATGATGAAGAATGATGCAGGTGATTTGATAGACAATGTGATGTAATGTAATTGTTGTAAAGATAATGTTAAACGTAATGTAATAATGTAATTGTTGTAAAGATAATGTTAAAAAAAGTAAACCTATCTCTACCAAAAGAACTCTCTATTAGGGCTGTCAAATCTGATTAATCGTGATTTATTGCAATTACCAAACGATTAATCGCGATTAATCAGTAGTTAATTTGTCCATGATAAGGCAAAACATGCTTACGACGTTGCCATTTGACTCAATCGAAATATATTTTTGACCTTTCAATACAATTTTTTAGATTTTTGAGGAAAAAAAACAGACCTTTTTCACTGGTGTATCTGTCAGGACTATAAGACCGTTAGTGCTGCAGTTTCTAAAGGGTTAAATGAGTACAGAAACTTCTGCAGAGGAGACTGATGCGTCACTGTTGAGGTATTTTATATTGAACTATTTTGGTATAGAACTACCAACATGGAAAGTTCT